CTAATTTCGGTGGCTAAATTGGTTTTTTTTTGTAGTGTGGATCAATCATCATTGCCGCTAGAAGACATAAAAATCATTAGGAAGCAATGAGATACATTTTTTCTTGAGCACATTGACCAAGACCTATACTTTTTTAAATTCACACATGTTTTGTAGTTTAGGATGTATAATGTTATTTTGACATGTTTACTTATTATGTTCACAAGTATGTATTGAATGTATTTAAAACTCTTTTTGATTATATATATGATTGCCATTTAGCATTAATGTTTTACTTGTATGTAATTTAGTCTATAAAAAATGTAGATATTTTGATTTATCGAGGACTCATTAATTGACTAAATATGTATATGAATTTCTTGATATTGTTTGATTTGTAGATTTTGTTTTATTATCAAGAACTAAATTTTATAGGTAAGGGACATTTAAATTTATGCACTTATTGTATCAATTATTCAAGAAGAACAAATTGTTCATTACTTATGAAAATTAATATATCATGGTGAATTACAGTATTATTTCTTTTAGTAAAAGATGTACCGGAAAGCAAATTGGGTTTATGTCGCATCAACATTTTATGGGCATAGTTATATATTTTTTTATGAAATTTTTTATATTTAAACTTTAACTCTGCATATTTTTTAGTTTAAAATAAAGTGCATTTAAAGGGATAAAACACTCTTTTATAATATATATATATATAGAGAGAGAGAGAAATAGAGCGAGAGAGAGAGGAGAGATCCGTTTACTCTAGGAGTGAGTCTACTTAGTCTTATTCCGTTTAATAATTCGTGTACTACATCAAAGTTCAACGATCCAACTGTTGAATTTAAAGTTCTTAATGCATAGGTCAAATCTGCAAATTTTTAAAAAAGTTGAAAATCATTTGATACTTCATTTCATTAATTCAAATCAATGTATAAAATGATTGAATGATTACCCATTGATTTAAATTAATGAAATGAAGTATCAAATGATTTTCAAAAAATTAATGGGGGCATTTGCCCCTACAATATCTAACATGAGTTTGTCCTTGATAAATAATAACATAGACAGATGTTCATGTTATTAGACAATTTCTTGTTTTGCATATTATTAGATGCATAATGGACAACACAATTAAAATAATATTAAATTTATTATGATATTCTTTTTAATATTTATTATCATAAAGAATTATTACTATATTAATGGAACGATGCAGGCAACAATTGTGATAACGATAATAACAATTGTGGTGATAGATGATGAAATCATGTCCAAGGTCAAGTCCAAAAAGCACTAAGAGGAATTAGGTAAGCATAAAGGAAAAAAGCCTAAGCTCGTGTTAAGTTTTAGTTGTGATAAATTTTATGCATAAGTATGATTAAATTTATATCAAGTAGGTTTTTAATTTTTTTTTCCATATCTTATAGGTATTAAAAATAAATGAATGTGATCATAAATGTGATTAACAATGTCATGTGGTTATTAAAATATTCATTAGTAGTTATCCTTACCTCACAAATGGTCAATATTATGATGAGTTTAATGAAATATTGTATAGTAATAATAATGATGTCATCTATAATAATATATAAAGTTGATTTATTACTTTCGGTTACACAATTGATAAATGGGATTATTCTATTTGGTATTTGGACAGTTTTATTTTTATAACTATCTTTTTATAAATTTTTTTTATTCTTTTTTGTAAATTTCACTTCATAATTGAATGTATTTTTAATAATCACTCATTATTATATAATTTTTTATTATTTGTTATTTTTAAAAATAATTCATAGAGATTTGCAGCGTCTTTTATATAATAATAATAATAATAATAATAATAATAATAATAATAATAATAATAATAATAATAATCATAATAATAATAATCACCTACAATACAAAATTAACTATATATATACCCAGTTAACAGTATTTAGTATAGGTGGACGCCGAGTGAAAAATCTCAGATGTACCATAATCAGTACTCTATAACTTTAGATTAGCTGGTAATATTTGAAACTCAAGCAGCATATAAGAAAAGCCATGTCCTTGCTACAATGTGTCTAGAAGAAAAGCTAGAATAAAGGCAAAAGAAAGGTGCAAAATATGCTATACACCTTGTTTCCCAATGAGATGCAGGAATTATGCACTTGTTTTCTTGGAAATGGGATAAGCAATTGCTGATCGTTGCTTTTTGGTTACCCTTTCAATGATGAAAGAAAAAGCTCCAAAAGTGAGGCAGTTCTGTAGAAGTGCTTGGGGTGTACCTGGAGAAACTTAAAGGATGAGTCATAACGACTTACAAGTATATAAAATTACTTATATATAATGATAGACATTTATAAAAAGGAAAAAAAATGACTGAAATGTCTTCCAGTCTAGAGGACGACTAGGGTTTTTTGTTCTAAGCAACCCCCAAAACCTTAGTATTTGAGAGTGTAAAAATTTGTCCTTTTAGATCTAGGATTCAAGATTTTATAATTATTTATTTGTGAGTCTTATAGACCTCAAAAATATCGATATTTTTTCAGGTGATTTCAATAATATAATCTTTGATCGTTAAGATAAAATTTTATTTTATATACGACCCTCCCTATCATATTTACTCCAACTCCCTTTTAGGGAGGTAATTTGTATTAGGAAATTGGTCTGTTTTCAATCTTTTGATATCTCCTCTTGACTCGATCTTCAGTATGTCCGACCAACGATCTTGGTCAGGGTCTCTCAATAAATACATCTCAGAATTTATGCGGATGATACAAAATACATTGTGAATTATGAGTCAATGAATTTTGTTAGACCATTCAGTATAGTAATAATCCTAAACCTTTCCCACCCTTAATTTCAATTGGTTAAATCAAGAAATTAATATAAAAAAATGAGGTAAAGGATGATAATTAATCGGTTATCAAAAGAAAGGAAACCATACCAGGAAAATTTGTAGCAAGACCAGAGCAACATCCAGCTAAACCAGCATTAATGGCTGCACAAGTGAAAGTAATCACATTATCGGTTAGAAAACATAAAGAGAAAACTCTCAAACACAATCCTCTTAATACACTATATTTTATTGGTTATTAAAAGACAATCATTAAATAAAGTGTAAGAATTACCAATTTTTATATTTTTAATAAATTTCAATCAATTTAAAAGAGTATGTTTAGACAACGTGAAATGCTCTTCATGTAGTATTTGGATTGAACACACTTTATAATAATTTTTTTAATGACATTTTATAATGTCAGTTAGTATAACTGCTAATTTTATCGAATATTTTTTTAATTCAATTAACTAGTTTATTGGTTTCCAACTAATTACTTTGCTAATTTTTCCAAAAATATAATTTATGTTAAATATTTTATACCATCTTCCTTTCCTCGAAGTCTTGCCAAGATGCAGTTAACCAAACTATCAACGCCAGATAAAATTGCAAATGTCTAACGAAAAGAAAAGAGAAAAAAAATCATTAATGTGTTAAATATAATGGACATGTACAAATAAATATTAAGCTAACAAAGTAAACTGGCAGGCAGAAAATAAACAAAATTGATCTCTGATATACCTTAGCGTTAGATCCTGCTTCTTTAAAGGATCCTGTAAAGCCTTTCTTCTTAATCAATCCGGCACCTGAAATAGACCCATTAAAAAACATTCTTGAGCACAAGCAGAAATATGGACCAGCTATCAAACTAAGAATTCAAATTTCTTGAGAATAGTCCTCTGCTATAGTCTAAATACATGAATATAACCTATGATTAAATAAAGCAAAAAAAAAAAAAAAGTTAAAAAATCCATTTCTCTAGTTACTTGTTAGGAAAATATTATATAGATTCAAAAGTTTAAATGATATTACACACTTGCACTAACTCCTCTCCACCTTCACTCAAGGGTAACAGCCGAAAAGGTTTGAAAATATCCAATATGAAATTATCTACCAATAGATTCCTACATTCCTTTTCCTCTTTTAGTTTTGTAATGAGGCAAAGTTTTACTTGTACAAAACCGGAAGAATAAATCATAAAGTGCACCGTTGGGTATACAGAAAATATGAAAAAAATAAAAATAAAAATATAGAAATATGACACTGAATGATAAGCCCTAGTGAGAACATTATATAGTTGCAGATGCCTCAAAATAAACCACTAAATCACCATGTATGGTATTTCTTTCGGCATGTGCTCGACAAAAATAAATTTCATAGTCTGATATTCAGATGCATACTCATGAAAAATGGTATTGAAAGATCCAGTGATGTTTTCCTACAAAGAAAGATTATTGGCACAGACAAGAGGTGTCTTGATCATGTAAATGATATATACAAAACAGCATATATACTCAAATCCCAAACTCCGTGCAGGCTATTTGATTAAGGACAAAACTCAGATTTAGTTGCACTTCCTTAAATGCTTTTAATGTTATTGCAAACCTTTATTAGGCGAATTACCAAAAGTAAAACTTAAATTGTGATTAGAAAACTACACTAAATTAAGAGAGCCTGACTCAATTAGTTGACACAGGTGCATAAGTCGTTATAAATTCCTTAATATCAAGTTCAAGTTTGATCGATAAAAAAGACAGCATTAGAAACACCTGAAGTGTTGAGAAAGTTGGCATAGCAAACAAGAGAATGATGAAGAAAAACAGAAAAAAGAAATGTAACAGCACATAAGGAAACAAGTTGTGAATTTGTGAAAGCACATGAAGGTGCAGATTAGAGAGAGGACCATAGCCATAAAGGGAGCCGGTGAAGGCACCACAAGCAGTGTTGGCGGCAGAGAGAAGAAGGCAAACGGTGGTGGACGGAGGAGAGGAGGGGCCTACAGGAGCAGAGTTCACATCACTAACCGTTCCATCTGATGCCATCACTTTCCACGATGGGGTTACCATGCCCTTCAATTTATTCACTACCTCTTTCAGCAACGGACTACTCAACACAGATATTCACAATTATAAACTAGCCTGGTCCCATCTTGCCAAGTAAATAATAAATATATAGGAACACAGTCTCTCACCAACTAAGTTATTGTTGTAATTCCTCATTGTTATTAACGACAACCAAATTCTATAAAGTATGAAAAACATTGTTTTGTATAAAACCCGACGAAATGGGACATTATCTTTTTTCTTTTAAGAAATAAGTATTGTTTAAAGCATAGAGTAAATCGTCAAGATACACAATGTATCACCATTTTGCTTTACAAATGGCTTCTTGACCACTTTTCCATATGAGTATGCACTCGCTCTCTCTTCGAGATTTAGCCGTAGAAGAAAACTCTTACTGTCACAGTGTAGGTAAATGCTAGTTAAGTCTCAAAAAATGCAAATTCTTCAACTGCTTGTGTCCTTTGCTCTTAAATGTTAATCAACTGTTTTTGCTTTAAACATTAGAAGCCAAATGAGAAGAATAATCCCCGTGTCACTGACACCGATAGTCTTGCCTTGATCAGAACACCTCTATGGAAAGATTCAGTTTCAAGTAAAGACAAGCAAATTTTGAAACCAATACTCAATAAACTATCACGTGGTATGTAAAAATTCTTTTTATCTATTGTCATATCGTAGCTTTGCTGTTTTCAGAACTGAATACTTCTAATTGATTATATTTTGGTCGAGAATCATCCCAATGACTTCCGCTGTCAGCCTAAAAATCTGTCATGGAGGCAAAATGCTGCCCTGCTGCAGTAGGCATTATCTATGCATCTTGTGCTAAAAACACTAACAAGGAATACCAAAACTATTGATGTTCTATCAGTTGTCAGTATTGAATTAACATTTAATCCATCTGGCAGTGACCAGTGCGAGTTGTACATGAGAAGTGCCAGTGTAGCACCAACATGACCCAAGTGAAATTTTGAATCTTAGACAAAACGTACTACTCTTTTATTCACCAAAAAAACATACTACTCTTTCATCAACTTATTTTTCACCAAAATACATATTTGATACCATTATCCACGGATATCTTAAATGAATGACAGAATGAGTGTTAAATACAACATTCGTAACACGGCAAATGTCAGGTAGCAATGGAAATGCCAACTGAAATGCCATTATCCAACAAGAAATACATACAGTCCAGTTCCACCTTGAAAAAATACTGAACAAATTCATTGTAGCCAAAATCAAATTCTATCCAGCAGCCAATCTGTGATCCATTTTCTCTAACTTACACGGAGCTACATCTGTCCAGGGGCTTACTCTCCCTCATTCAGTATAGGTACAATGAGTGGTTTCATCTGTGCCAGATATACAATCGCCCACCTAAATGAACAGAGGAGAGAACAAAGTGAGCTTATGACCAAAAAGACATGCTTGATTTACAAGCTATAATTACAACTGAACCGATCACAAACATAGGAACAGAAATACTATCTAACACATTCTGTTTAACACAATCTTTACTATTGGATGAAGATTGGAAATCACAAAATTTTGTGGATGAGTCTATCTTAAATTTGTAGTTTCCAATAAATTTTAATCAATAATAGAATGTACTAGGAGTGTGTTAGAGAATGTTTTGATAATACTCTACTTAAGAATAAGCTATAAAAAAATTAAAAAATAAAAAATTCATGAAAATTCCATATAAAAGCCAACCCCTGCCTCCTACCCCCAAAATAAACAAAACAAAAACCCTTTTGGACATCAAGCAACTCATGTTCATCAAATTTTAACACAAGCTCCTTGGGAACAATGAAATGGGAATAATGTAGAACAGAAATACAAGTAAAAATGTACATAAACTATTTATAACTTCCTCTTGTAAAATCACATTTAGGGTGTTCATAAAAATGACAATGAGTAATTATAACAAAGAAAAAGAGAACCTTCACAGACTATTTATAGTTGGACACATCTTAAGTTACTATTGTCACATTAGAAGACAGTACTAAAACCCTCAAGCCATGTATGGCATGCAGTAAGTAGTTAGGTAATACTAGAAATAGTGGCATGGAAGGCTCCTTTTATTTTGCCTATAAAGCATCAAGGCTTCTATATGCTCCGGTACAATTACTTAAATAACCCCAGTTTTACTGAGATAGTTATTCTGAATCAATTACTGTTATTTTTACAAGGGCTGCTATTCAGCTTTGGTAATTTGACAATAAACACACAAAAATTCATGTGGCACTTGGCAGTATCGCGGTCTAAGAGAATGAAAGAACAGCTACAGAAATAAACAACTTCAACAAACACTAACTAGGAGTACATGTCAGCCTGTAAGTGGGGTAATCTACACGGGACGAGCCATATCATTTAGTGATTTCTTCTACTATAATCAATAAATTTTTTATCAGAGGAAATAAAAAAACATAGGTGCACAAGTTCTACATGCTCTAATTCCTATTTAAACTTTATACAAAATAAAAGAATGCCCATCAAACAACACTTACATCATCCAGCAGCAAATTGTTGCAGTAATTACCAAAGTTAAGTGAAATCTGCAACAGAATGAGAAGAGATTAGAAACACGTCAATAAGATCAATGCACACATTGACAGAGAACAACAATGAAGAACAGTGCCACATCTAATAATCATGAGAATTGCAAGTGTGGCATACTCGTGAGTCTCTATAAATTCTTCAGGGCATGCTCAAGTCACTAAATAAATCTGAATATGCCGCATTATAAAACAGAGGTTGCAATAAATAGTTGAAAACCATATCAAGTTATCAACTACTAAGTGTGTGTTTGACTGTTTGTTTTTTCGTTCTAACACTGTCCAACACAACACAACTCAATGTGAAATGGGCAAAAGGTTAGATTGGCATTCACCGGAGCTTCTATTGGAAAAATAAGCAAAGAGTAATAAGAACAATAACAGTTAAGGTGTTGAAGTCATAACCAAAGCAACAACACCACATGCCCGAATCCTACATACTCTTACCTTCTGTACTTGCAAAGAAATGGTAGACAATCAACATCTAAGAATACACTTTTTTCCCAAAATACCGGCCAATTCATATCCTTCCCAAGTGCATCAGAATGTCTAACTATAAACACCTTTATTTTAATTTTAAGCAAGAAGCCTTAATCTAATTTCACCACCCTAAATCTTCCCAAAACTTTAAAGCAGTAGCTGGATCCACAATAACTGGTAACAACAAAACAAATTTCTCCAAACAATCCTTAAATTTTCTGATCAAAATCCCACTAATTGCAGCAATAGAACTCAACTAAAACCAATCATAAGATAACCCATTCACGTAACCTAACCAAATTACAAATAACAATTCAGAAACACGTTGTACTATACTCCAATTGAGTGCAGAGTGCCCTGATTCCTAAAACGCGCACCACTCTCGAAATCAATACATTGAGAACGGAAAACAAAAAAAACAAAATGGAAAGAGAATCGGAAGGAGCATACAGATTGGTAGAAGGTCCTCTGTTGCAGCAAATTCTGGTGCAGAGGCACGCGATGATTCCGATCACAACGAAGATCAGCGTCGTCACCAAGAACCCCATGTCGATTCGTTCCCTTCCGGATCCCGATCAGAGAAAACGAATTCCTAGCGCGAATTGAAAAATAAGATAATGGAAATTGATTAATTTTGGAGCGGAAGCGGAACCCGTTTTGGGGCGTTTGGTTGCCGAGAAAATGGTGGGAAAAAAAAAGTGAAAATAGGGAAAAGGAAAAACGTTGGAATATGTAGTTTGTTGTGTTACCTCTGAACTCTGAAGCAGAGATCTCACGGTTTTCTGAATCGATCACCTTGCGCATTTAGTGAGAGAAGCCTCGTCGATTTTCTGCTTTGGAACAAACTGGGCTTGGCCTCACACAGGCCCAAAACTTGGCCTGCTATAGTCGGGTTAATGGGCTTTACATTATTTTCTTCCTAGATCATGTCCAATTGGGTACTAGTACTATGTTTAGTTTTTTTTGGTAGAAGTACTATGTTTAGTTAGTAGTATGTTATTTTAACTTGTTCGGATAAAAATGAATACTATAGAACCCTTCAAATTTATCTATTTTGTAAGGAGTTGCTTAATTTTTTTTATTTCGATAATTTCCTCTATTAATCTTGATCATGAATTTAAATTAAATCAGTAAATATTAACCATTTATTAATTGTTTATAATTTTCACATTTTTTCAATTTCTGAAAATAATATATATATATATATATATATGTATATAATATTTTGTTGTATCATTTATATAATTTTTAGGTCTTTAAGCAACAGTTTCAACACTGTTCCTTAAGTATTGTCAACTAAGAACTAAGTACCTATGATACTATACTTAAGTTTGATACATCATGTTAGTCATACTGTACTGTCGTGTCGCATACCACTGCATCCAACCCCTGTTGATTATGCTGTTCACCAAGTATACAAGAATTTTCAACGAAAATGTACACAAGTTAACTCTAGGCGATAGAAGTTAGAACATGTATAAAGTAACCAATATATGTACCCATTCCTTTGACAAAAATGCTGTTTACGTGAGTTACAAGCAAGTTGTTTGTTACACTAACACTGACTCACAAGTCATGCAAATAGCCAACTTTTTGAAGAAAAACAAGTCTGTAAGAACAAGCTCCACATTCAGAATGATATCTCAACTAAGCTTCAAGAAAAGATGATCACAGCTGATTGGCTACAACCAAAAAAGGGTAAAAGAACTAAGCAACTAAAAGAAGAGCTTTCTTGGGGGTGCTCTAGATGCAACTGTTGATGGATAGGTTGAGGACTTATGAGATGCTGCCTTGTTTTCTTGGTCCCCAGGCACTCTATCAAGCAACTTTGCTGCCCTTGGATCTGATAGTAGTGTCTTTTGGAATGACTGTGAGAAGCCAGTTGCAATGATAGTCACATGAATCTCCCCATTGTATCGATCATCAACAACAGCACCAAATATAATATTGGCAGAAGGGTCAGCTAAACTTGTCACCACCTACAATAATAATGAAGTTTTGAATACAGGAAACAAATATTTGCAACAGATTCATAAGATCAAAAAGAATGCTGAAATATTCTTTCTGACAATAAAATTCTCAAGTACCTGAGACACTCTGTTCACTTCCTGAAGAGTTATGTCTTTTCCTCCAGTAATGTTATACACTACCCCTGTAGCTGCCTGAATTGACGAGCCAATTAAAGGAGCCAAGGTAGCCTGTTCTGCAGCTTCTTCTGCACGGTTTTTACTGGAGGAAACACCTACGCCAAGCATTGCGGTTCCAGAGTCTTTCATCACAGCCTTTACATCAGCAAAATCCACATTTACAAGCCCAGGTATCTGTAAAAAGACGCAACAGTGAATATCATCCTAATAAGCTGACACCAAAATGCACTTGACATGAATAATTGTCCAATTGTGATGGTGGAGCAATCACTCAAATGACTTGGGGCAAATGAGATGGAGAATGATTCAGGCCTTTAATGTCCCCTCTTTCTCTTCTCAAACCAATCTAGTGGGATCAACTAAGCTTTTACATGTTATAGTGACCTGTTAGGAAGTCAGAAAAAACTGCTAATCAACTCACTGTTATGATGTCCGATATTCCCTGGACTCCTTGTCGCAGAACATCATCTGCCAGACGGAATGCATCCTGAAGAGGTGTCTGTTCATCAGCCATGTCAAGCAGGCGGTCATTTGGAATCACTATAAGTGTATCCACATTTTTCTGCAGCTTTTCAATGGCTTCCAGTGCCTGAAAGAATGACATTTGAATTTAACATCTGAAAGTATCCTCAGAGAAAGACAATACAATAAACATCAAGCAATTTATGAAATACATTATCAGTTTGTCCATAACTAAGTTGATTTACTATCAACTGCAAATGGGTGTAATAATAAATAAATAAATAAACGAAATTCCAAATTTTTGATCATACAAGCAGTAATAAGTTACACTTGAAGTAGTATCTTCATAAAATGGGTATAAATTAGAAAAATTAAAAAGGAAATTCCAACTTTTTAAGCATACTAAATAGAGAATTAATAAGTTACTTGAAGTAGCATCTTCATAGCATACTAATCATATTGTCAACTACGGAAAGAAATGACACCTGCCTGTAATGATCTTTTACGTCCTTCAAAACTGAAGGGATAGGTAACAACACCCACAGTCAAGTAACCTGCCTCTTTTGCTATTCGGGCTACTACTGGGGCAGCACCAGACCCAGTTCCCCCACCCATGCCAGCAGTTACAAACACTAAATCAGATCCTTGAAGAGCATTAGCAATAGCTTCTTTTGATTCTTCTGCAGCTTGTTCCCCTACAAGTGGATTCCCACCAGTACCTGCATCTCTATCAAGCAACTCAAATCGAAGGTCACATTGGAGTGAAGCTACACACAACAGCAACATATATGCTCATTAAAATCAAGCACAAGGGAAACCCCTGGGCATAAAATGCAAGTGCCTGACCTAATCCACGAGTCAGAAGTTCTCCAATTTTGATGGGGTTCTCAGCAGCAGAATGCAGAAGTGCTTGAGCATCGGTGTTTATAGCATAAAATTCAACACCCTGATTAATCAAAAACAAAAACATGTAATAGAATACAACATTAGCAAAACCATAAAAAAATATCTTAATGAAAATTTAAACTAGGTTAAACTATTCACCTGGCCCCTATAGTTGTCCCCATTTTAATTTTTAGTCCCTACACATGCATGTCTGCCTAAGTTTTGTTCCCTGTAAGCTAAATACCACAGAAGACTTTTTGGCAGTATAAAACTGCTATAAAACTTTCTAGCAGTATTAAACCAATACAATTTACAAGAAAGAAAAAAAAACAAATACAAAAATGTGCAGAGACTAAAACTTACCTAATTAGGAACTAAAACTTTAAAAAGAGACAACAATAGAACCAAGTGAATAATTTAACCATTACACTATCTTCACCATACTGCCATGAAAAAAGAAAAAAAGCTCAATAAAAGGAGCTTATATCTAACGAGTGTTGTTGGGCTTATCAAGTTACTCGCTATGAGTTGTTATTTGTTATCAGATTTCTACATATGTTCAGTCTTACAAACGTGTTAGAAATCTCAAACTAGTGGTATTTTCAATATAGTGTATGTAATTGAAAAACAATTTTCACCCCTTATAAGCCCTTTTCATAATTCATTTCTTAAGAGAAGCAAACCCACCGTCATCACAAAGACACGTTCATAAACAACCAAACGGGCTTAAAAAAAAGAGTTAATAATAATAATTAAAAAAAAAAAAAAAAACATTATAAGTAGTTACAAATGAGGAAGGAAAAAGCCCACTTGCAATCCGCAACCAATCATGCGGTTAACGGCATTGTTGCCGCCGCCGCCGACACCGACAACCTTAATCTTGGCGCTGTCGAGCGTGGAGAATGAGCAGCAAGTGACGGGCGCGAAACGACGACGCAGGGGTTCGGAGGCGCAGGTTCTGGCTCTAGGGTTCAGCGAAACGCAGCTTCTGAGGACGAAAGAGGAAGAGGAGAGTGCATTGTGGCGAATTGGAGTGCGGTTTGAGAGGGGAAGCATGGCCATTGTAACACTCAGTGAGGGTTCTGGGATTTAGGCTTGGAAGGGAAGAATTGGGGTTTAGGGTTTAAGGAGAAGATGAGGACTGGGTTCGGTTTTCATGGTCACGTTGGTTTGGATTGGAAAAAGGATGAAGGAAGAGAAACGCAACAGAAGCTTATGCTGGAGTGGGTGTGTCAAGTGTGAAGTGTGAAGTGTGAAAAATTCTTTCATTTTTATTTTTTTTTTACTTTTTGTTTTGTTTTTCTTTTTAAAGAAAATTAATTAATTAATTAAGGCACCGGTGACATGGAAAAGATTGATACTGTGATTACTGTCGGACTGTGACATATATTTAAAACCAAATATATAAAATAAAAATAAAAATGTTTGAGAAAAAAAAATACTGTTTTCATATTGAAAATGTAAAATGCTGATGTTTAAAATATCCATTTTAAGAAAGTTTTAAATTAGTTTAATAGGTAAAACACTACTTTAATGATGAAAATATAAATTAATATTTGGTTTAATTTATGAAACATCGTTTTAATGATTGTTTATGAATGTTTCGTTGTGTTTAAGATTAATTAAAAAGGTAAGCATCAGTTAAAATAATTATAAAAGTAAATATTCTATTATTGGGTAATTAATTAAAAAGAGTAACTTGTTTTAATTTCTAATACTTGCATGAAACCTCTCTTGTCTTCTATAATGATGTACTAAAGTAATTGGTCAAATTTGTGAAAAGTTTCTCTACTAATATGAACATAGCTTTTCCACTCCTTAGTATTTCTAATATTTTCTAACTGATTTCCGTCATTTCCATTACCATAATATGTTGTCGTATGTTTTCAATTAATGAAACACTATTTTTTTGTGTGATTTTTAATTAAGATTTTTACAGTACGGACTTTGAATTGCCAAAAGCCACTAATTTGAGCATATCTTTCCCACTCTTCTATTTCAATTTAACATTGTTCTTGTCCATTTGGTACACCATTATTTTTAAAATTTGTCATACCGTCCATTTTCTTTTGCATCCAAAATATTTATAAAAAAAAAAAAAAAAACTTAAATATACATTTATATTACATGCACTAGGCCAAACACGTTAATAATTAACAGGTAATTATCACTATTAATAAATAACTATGTGATTGGTCACAGACTGGAAATATAATCAAGAGTGAAAATACTATAGAATCAATGCTAAATAAATCATCGAAGACAAAACCCCAGAAGTGTTTATGGTTTTTTCCATGACTTTAAAAATCAATGAAAAATAAATACAGGTTAATTTCTATTCTAGCCTATGGTTATTTATATTCTGCAGCAAGTGATGCCACCTTGTTGCATGAAAAAACAAGTATACCTACCGTGCAGTGCAACTAGTGCTACAAAAACATACATGCTTCAGGGTTTGGAACAAATGGCAAGACACTTTCACCAAACAATTCAACCACTGATGACACCAAATTTCCTGCATCAATGTCATCCTTCCAAGCCTGAGCAAGAGTGGAAGACACCTTCCTTTGTTGGTCTCCTCCAACCTCTCTCCCCTGCGCGCTGTCGTTGGATAATTGGCGAGCCATCGACATGGAAGGAACCCCCATCATGGTGGAAAATCCACCTGTTGAACCTTGCATGTCTGACATGGAGTTCATTGGCACCACACCACCAGGGCCATCTGCTGCAAGTTTCTTCAGTGGAGGTTGCTGCTGCTGCTGCATTAGATTGTCTGCACTGGCTTTTCGTTTCCCTTCATTAATGTATAGACAGAGTATGATCATCAGAGTATGAAGTTTACATTGTAATCATAGGAAAATAAGTGCCAAAAAGAACATTTTGATGGAAACAATTTTAAAATCTATTTGAATAAACTTCTTAAAAAATACTCACAGGAGAAGAAAATTAGAAAAATTAGCTTATATATAACTTAAAAACAAGTTGTTAGAAAAGATAATATGAGAGAATTTCTATAAATTAGTTAATGTATGAACTAATATTAACTTAGGGAGAGGTTTATTTAATTTTTCCTCGTACAGTAGAAACTCTTTAAATTAATACTCGGTAAATTAATAAACTCTCTAAAATAATAAATTTGTCCGGTCCCGACTTAGGCCAATGTAAAAAATTGAAAAACTCGATAAAATAATAAGATAATAATTTTTCGAGAGATCCCTTTATAATTTTTTGTCCCAAGAAAATCATAAATTAATAATTCATAGAAACTGAAAAAAATATATTACACTCTATTGAAATATGATTCAATAGTTGTCTGTTTGCAACACCTTTTAGATGAGAAGCCATCTTGTGAAATATGGTTTGAATACTCTAACACATTCATGTAATTTATATATGCCAAACTTGTTTAAGAATACATTGAACACATTTGTTCCTCTTGTTTACATTTACTGTACTTCAAAAGTCATTATTGATTTTCAATGCATATGTACTTCAAAAGTCATTACATATTGATTTTTAATGCATATGTACTTCAAAAGTTACTAATTTACGTTGAGTCTCAAGGTTCGCTGCAACGTAATTCTAAGAGGCATAGACTAATTTGCCTTTTTTTTTTTTATGTACAGTATAATTACTTAAAAACTCTTTAAATTAATAATTATTAATTTATCAATAAATTAATAACTCTCTAAATTAATAAATTTCTCCGGTCCTGACATTATTAATTTAAAGAGTTTCTACTGTATTTTCTTCTTCGACAAGTATTTCTGGAGAAGTTTATCTCTTAGTCATTTACTCATAGCATATTCAGAAACCCATGTTTTGAATGCAACTTCAATATATATATATTGGGAGTGTTTCATGTTACTGTTTGAGAAGATATAATTTTGACCATTAATGTTGCATGAAAGGTCAAAATTCATTTTAATTAGAATTAATATTCAATTGAACATCCATGTATTGTTAAGATTGTTTTACTTGAATACAATCATCATTCATCACTGCCCATTTTGTAGCAAGTTTAAAACAGTTACTCACGCTCTCTACTAATTCACTTTCTATAAGTGTACAATTTTAAATGTCATACATATATTTATAGGAGGGCGATAGGTTGCTCTGATTGACGGTCAAATCATTAATTAAGGTTAAATATTTTATTTATCAATTTAAATATATTTTTAATCCTTATAATACATCAGGACGATAGGTTGCCCCAGTTTTTGTTTTGATCTTTGTAGCATTAGTTATTTTAAAATAATCCTTGTAAAATTTAATTATTTTTATTTTACTTCTTGTATTTATTTTAGTCCTCGTAATTAGATATTTTCCGTTTTAGTCCGTGTAGTGTTTTGTTCATTTTGAGTTGATCCCTTAAAAAATGATAGGGACTAAAAGCAAGTTATTTACGTATAATAAGGTCAAAAACGAATATATTATAAGAACTAAAACAAATAATAAGGACAAAGAGAAATTTTACTAAGACCATTTTAAAAAGATAATTTTATAAAGACCAAAACAAAAAATGTGGTATATTACATGAACCAAAAGTATATTTAAGTTTTATTCATTCCAAAAAATAATCTTTTAATATAAATCATTTTTACATTTCCATTGCTTTTATATCTACCCGTTATTCTAATTAAATAGTGAAAATTAACGGTGTTTAAAATCAACCAATGTTATAATTTATATTTATAAAGTTCTTTACTAACCATGAAACAAAAGAACACCGGATTTTTCAATCCTTTTTTTAATCCCAAAAGGTGCATTACACAGAAATATTATTGATAGAAAATGTTAAAAATACATTGGTTCATAATCTGCATTCTGCAAAGCAATTAACATATTGAAATTTTATTTAGAATCATTGGTTACTACATAATTAATTTTTCATAGGGGCTTCCACAGCATTTCATTGACTAGTTTGTGTTTTTATCAAAAATAAAATGTTTTCCATTCCATTATCAGCCCTGTCCTTTTTAAGCATGTGTTTCCTGTTAGGACTAATAGTTAACTTAGAGAGAGATCATACAACTATAAATTACTCCATTCAGGATCAGGCATGTATTGCTTCATACAATTTAGAAAAATAAAGTCATACCTGACATTGCAATCATGGCTTTTCCATTGCCTCTTGAAGTAACACGAGTTGTAGGAGAGAGCAAACTGGTGAACATTTTGACCTTTTCATACGTACATTGACCTACTGCACCCTGAAAAGTTTATGACTTCAGTTAATCATCTAAGGACAGTGCAACATTTTTTTAGATTGTGTCTAAAATATTAAACACAATTAAATTACAACTCACCAGCAAGGCTCCGTAAACTCGCCAAGCTTCATTCCTCTTAATTTCATTTTTTTGCTTCTCGGGTTGCATTTCTGGCTCAAGAAGATGCAAATATGGCTCGAGATTTGGAAGTATAAGCAAGCGAATCTACTCAAAGTGAAGGAATATTATAGCATTAGTTGACACCAATACAGCTTGAGGTTCTAAATCACAATGCATAAAAGTCACCTGAGAACCCCATACAAAGAATAGAAAAGGTTGCAATCAGAATTAACAACATTTGCAAATATTTGAGAAAGTAACATCATATATAAAGGGTCTATTTGGATATATGCTTAGAAGTACTTTTGGGAACTTCTTTGTTAAAAAATCCTCTTTGTTTTCAGTAAAAAAGCTTTTAAAAACGCTTCTAACTTATATTCAAATAGATTCAAAAGGTATTAATTTTTCATTAGTCCACAAGAACTAAACAGATGGTAAAAGAATGTCATGTTTGAATTGAAAATAATTATATCTAGTCTAAAAAGGAAAAGCAGAGCTGTCTTCATTAAGTTATCATCCAGAAGAGATCATCAAATAATAAATATGAAACCAATTTGACAACCAGAAGCCATCGAACAATCTACTGGGTTGATATTAAAACATCAAAGTCAGAACATACCACTCTTGACCCAAGGGCTTCTATTCCTTTAATTGCACCATAGTGTTGGGGCAGAGCTTTTGTAGGGTCCAAGAAAGAATGAAGAAATGTCTTTGTCACACGTGACTGAAGATTGTGATAAACATGCCCAAATCTGTAACATTCCAGACTATGAATATAAAAGCACAAAAATATAAATGATAAATACAAGCTCAGTATTCTATAGTTTTTATTTTAATGTATTTAATATAGTCACAACCAATGCAATGTCAAAGATGCAAGAAAAGATTCAACCTTATTAAACCAAAGTATGTGCAATCTTAAAATAATAATAATAATTAAAAAATAAAAAATAAATAAAATAAAATAAATTGGTATGCATAGCAAGAAGCCCATCATATCATCTACAGCTCTACAGAACATGTGTTACTCCAACCATGCAGTTAAACTATAAATATAAGAATCATTTATATGTAACTATATATATATATAGATTGAATATGGTACATTTAACAGCTTCAACAAGCATGAATTAACAATTGCGCATCAGCAATTGAAGTCTCATCAAGCATACCTTCTCATTGCTCTATTTGGTAGAATGGAATGTCAAAAATATATTATTGTAGAAATATATAATCGAAGAAATATGCACCAGTTGCCCATCTAGAAAAAGCGTAAGGGCCTAGAATTATTAAGTTACACTTAAAATATGAGGAAAATCTGAATATTATTTTCTATGATCTCCACTGTGCAATGCTGATTACAATATATACAGGCTAGGGAATTAACGTTATCCTAGGACTTGTGGGCAACAAATCTAACCCGGTTACAAGAAATAAGGGAAATCTGTCCTAAAAATGCACATGCTGCAACTGTTAACATCATAATTAAATGAACTATGCCATGGTAATTTTTAAACTCTCATTATTCAATAGAAAGAAGGTCCACACCTTTGGCATATTGAAGCAACAAGATTAGCACTGAAGTTCCTAAGCTCCCAGTGATTATCAGATAGTCTGTTTCCTATCTTTTTTGCAACAATGCAAGTAATGATAGCCGGCATCAATTGATGTAACTGGAAGATTTAACAAAATATTAGAAAGAAACTGAAACTCAGAAGATAGATTACCGTAGTAAAAACTCAAGCTTTAGTAAGATATAACTGCTCTTCAGTCTTGACTTAAGTAACCCAAACATATCTAAAACTGGCACAAAGTCATTGTTTATTTATAAAATCACACATCAACGATGAACCTCATGAGAGTTGTCATGGATAACAATGATCAAATGATCATATGAAATTGATGAATGGTATATAGATGCAAAAACATTTACAATCGTGTCATACTTACATAAAGTTCTATATGTATCTGAGAATTTTGCAAAAGGCTCCGCACAAGGCGCATCAAGGCAAACAAAACAGCAAAATTATTTAAATTTCGTGCCACCTGATATGACAAGAGAAAAATGGAAAAGAAATGAGTACTCATAGTCTATTTCACACACTAAATTAAGAAATTTAACCAAAAACATCAGATATAAACTTGTCAATACCTCATCAGCAACAAAGCATGTGAAATATGGAACTAAGGGATGGAGTCCCGAGTCTGCTGCCAAGCTAATCAATGCTCTTCTAAAAGGAATGGATCCAGGCTTATTTAAAGTTAGCTCAGTTATTTTCTCATAGTAAAGCTGTAGAAGAAATAAAGTTCATTAAAGTTGATAAAAAAAAATATGGAATTTCTTTAAAAAAAATTAATAATGAGTATACCTGAAGCTCCCTTGTTATTAAATGTTTAACAGGTAATTTAACATCAATAGGACCATCTTCCTTATATTCAGATTTTCTTATCTCAGGGGGAGCTGCAAGTAACATAGGGCAAGCAAATATGTCAATGTCAAAAATATCAAACATTTTTATCATGAACCTCAAAGTAACTAAGAAGAAAGGGGAGAAAAAGAGTGAAATCGTGTGGATGATTAAAATACAAAATTCAGCATAGAAGATCATAAAGTCATAATCTTCAATACTATAGCAGGTAGGCTTGATAGACATAAATTGACCACAATATCAGACAAACAATGAGATTGATAGAAACAGTACTAAGGAAGTTAGTTCAGCTTCATTGCACTTAAATCTGGTGAGAAAAAAAATACCTTCAACTGGAGCATTTTCAGGGATTGCAGGCTGAACACCTTCAATAGCCAACCAGTGACTGGTAATTGATGTATCAAGGGGTGCTTTTGGTAAAGGAGCTTCGATTAGCTATTCAAATCAGGAAAAATGTGAGAACATCATATCAAGAAGCAACTAAAGTACTTCTATTAGAATAGCAATCTTCATGTATCTAGAAATCTTACATCTTTAATTTCCACATCTTTGTCATCAATGTAAAACAAATCCTTATGTCCAGCAGCTCTTTTGAACCGCAGAGGATCACTAGAGGTGAACCCATATATCGGCTGATTCACAAATACAAACATAAGCAAAAAGCAAACAAAAACAACACAGTCAAAGATAAAAAAAAAAAAAATTAACAAGCTAGGGGCAGACTGGACTTGATGATAAACATTTCAAGGTGCTCATGAACACCATTCAAACAGAGTAGTAATAGAAGACTATCCCAAGAGGAAACACAAGAGGAACATGAAGAGGATGCATTAGAAGCAGAGATACTAACACATAACTGGATAAGTAAAGCAAGTCACCTCTAAATTTCTCAATGCAAGTGCAGTATCCACATCATCTGTAGTAAGACAAGTTCTCATCGAATGGCGCATGCATTTTATCGACTCCTGTTCAATTTTAAACAAACAAACAAACCCATTCTCCATTAGCCACACTCAAGTAGTAGCAGTAGTAATAATAACAACAATATCAAATCCTACAACCCTTTTAACATGCTCAAATATTCCAACCACCCATTAGCAGAATTTCATTTTTTTCCCTCAAATATATTTTTTTTTCACGTAAAATTGAATATGGGTTTGTTTCATCACTATCCTGAATTGTGCATTCAGAGTTCGCACCATTGCAACAAAACCCACAAAGGGGGTGTGAAATCACCCGCGAAAAATTCAAAATTGCGCAAAAGGGTGGGAGAAAATCGCGAAGGGTACCTGCATGATTTCGCGAATGCGGTATTCGAGATCGGGAGCGAGAGCGAGGGCAACATCGGAGGATAAGTTGGTGATGCCAATGCTCTGTGCAATGACTTCGATTGTCTCCTTTGGCACGAAACTCATCTGGATTTCAATTTTCTCAATGGAACATGAATTGGTCTTTCAGCCACTAACAACGGTGGCTTAGGTTAACGGAGGATTGTGAAGATGGTAATGGCAAAACGACAATTTGCAGAAACAAAAGAATGGTAGTATGAATTAAGGCTGATGTTTTGAAATTGTTTTAATTGCCCTAACAAAGAGTTGCAAGGTCAAAGGGACGATGACTTGGAGAGGTTTTTCTGACGGATCAAAGGTTAAGGTAAAACTTTCTCGGATACTGAGGTTGTTTTTCTGTGTCCACACTTTGTTTCAGTGTTTATTATTCTAATTTATATCTTAACTGTTTATCTCTATACTAAATTTACAGTCTAGTCGGCTGTTCCTGTTTCAGAATTTTTAATTTTCATTTTTAAAGGTTTAATACATGCTTTGTTTAGACGAAATTTATTTATTTTAAATACTTTCTGAACTATAAAAAAAATTGTAATTGAATTCATAAATTTTATAATCAAGTCTTTTAATTAATTATCTGTTTATGCATCATTAACTTGCGCCTAAAGACCTAATACAAAAGTTAGAAAAGATTACATACATAATTTTAAAAACTCAAAATTTTTAAATATGAAATCTCGGTTTTTTTTTATATTTAAATATCATACTACACTGATATTATCATTGATAATCAATAATAATAATAATAATAATAATAATAATAATAATAATGACCACGATGACACATAGTAATATGTAATGGGATCTTATTAATAATTTATAAAGTATTACTTCAGTAAAATGAATATATGCATGTTAATCGATCAAGCACCATTTATCTTTTCGAATTTTGAGTTGAAATTTGCTAACGAGGGTATATTAGATTAGGATTTTAAAAAAAAAAATTAGTTGAAAAAAGTCTTGTGCATTTTAAAAGACTTTGCAAGATTTTCATGATTTTTAAGATTTTGTAGGATTTCACAAGACTTTCAATCAGGATTTTAATGGATTATGCAAGACTTTTAAGTTAGGATTTTAATGGATTTTATGAGACTTTATGAACTTTGCAGAATTTCATAAATTTTTGACATAAGATAAGAATTCAAGATTTTTTCATACATTCAAATTTAAAAAGAGTCAAATATAAAAAAAAAATAATAATAATGTCTGGATAAATAATAATAATTTTTTGTAATATCATGTCGTTCTAAATAGAATTCACTCACATATTCATAGTTATACTAGTCCTCCAAACATTAGTATCTTTTTGCTCTTGCTCCTGTGTTTTAATAATAGGCTCAAAATTATGATTTTAAGCCGTCAAAGTGGGCCGGGACCCGTGGACCAACCCGGCCCACCTTGAAAACGGGTCGGGCCGGGCCAAAAAAATTCAAGTTTTATAGTAGATGGGTATATCTCAACCCGACCCACCTGGGCTAAACCCGTGGTAGGCCGGGTAGCCCACCAACCCACCATTTTTTTTTGCAATAAAAATTTAAGTATAATTTGTAGTTAATTTTGTATGATGGGATATTAAAAATTTTTATTTTAGACTTTTATCATGATTTGTATTTAATTTTGTATGATGAATTATGACTTATGACTATTAATGATGTTAATTTTATGACTATTATGTTAATTTATAATTAATTTTAAATTTTAAATTTTGTTGATAATTTTTTATTTTTTATTTTTGGTGGACTGGTGGGCTGGCCTGTATAACCCACCAACCCGTGGTGTGCCGGGTCGGACCAAATTTTTTTTGGAAAAATTAAAAGTGGGCCGGGTTGGGTTGACTCGTTTTTAAAGTGGGTCAAGGTGGGCCGGGTTGGCCCGTTTTGACAACTCTAATTTTCATTAACCAATAATGTTAAAGATAAAGATTCGTCCATCACTTCAATTGAAAATTCATCATAATGACATTCTTTACGGAAAACGTTATGTAGTCCCACACATGTTAAAAATTATTCTAAACAACATTTCAAAATTTTTATAATTTGTGATTTAAAATATTTTATTTATAATTTTATAAATGATTAAAAAAATAGTGGGACAACTACCCTACTCTCTTATAACTAAATATGTCCCTTCATTTTATATTAGTACTAAAGTAGAAATTTACAAACATCAATTGGGAGAAAAAAAAATATCTGAAATTTGTTACCAGTACAAAATAATTTTTTAAAATTTTTAATTGCTTTCAATTATTCACTCGTGAAGAAATATTTTTAGTATTGAATTCTAAGATATTGCAATGTCTTATGTTAATTTTCTTTCTTAAAATATAAAAATATTAATTTCATAAAATAAAAATAAAAAATAAAATAAAATTCATAATAAAAAAAAGAAATAAAATAATTGTTTAGTCATAAAAGGAGAATGATAACAATAACAAATTCAAGAGAGGGAGAGAGATCATAGTTTTTATGTTGAGAGGATTCTTCTCCCAACTAAGATCCATTCTTATCTTATTCTATTTACATAAAACCTAACTCAAATTCATCTTTTACATATATATATATATATATATATATATATATATATATATTAATGATATCAATTTTAGCTTTCACCTTTCCCTTTTCTTGACGCGTGTTATAAAAAAAATTACTACTTAAAAGTTAAAATTTTAAGTGTTTTCTGTGTTATATAACTGAGGAACAATCTCAATTAAATAGACTAAAATAGAACAAGTCAATTAAAGAGAACGGAGAGAAAAATATAGCAAGTTAATGACATTATCATTTACGTATAGAAATTTTACCAAATAGGAGAATGGAATGAGAACGATAATACAGTATTATATATAAGTAGTAGTGCAGTATTATTAACAAGAGAAAAAAATGGAAAAGACATGAACATAGAGAAAAAATAGATGAAAAACCCACTTAAAAATTCTTGAAACACTTAAAAAGTCACTTCAAACAATCCTCCAAAATCTTATGGGTTTGGATGAGATTGTTTTATGAATTTGGTATTTATAGATACCACTAAAAAGTCTATCAAAATCCCTCTAATACAACAATCCTTTAAAATTCCTATATTTTTGAATACTAATAGATTGTTTTTTAGTTGTAAAAAGTCTCAAATGAATACCAATATATTTTAATGGACTCTTTAAAAAAAATTTAAAATCTTGATTAAATATCACTGAATTATTTTTAAGTGACATAAATTCTTGATTGAATACCAATGAACTTTTTTATTAAAAAAATAAAACTTTTAAAATCTTATAAAATCATAAACTAATACACCCCTAAGTTTAACTTTTTATACTTTTTCGCCGGAGTTAATTCTATTGTGTTTGTGTATTTGAGACTAATTTAAAAGGTCTAAGTTTCACGTTGTTTAGTTTATTTATTTATTATTATTATTTTCAAGTGTTCATATATTAACCTTTGTTTACAGCTTTCAAATGCATTTGAGATTGAAACGATTATAAGCGTAGCGCAGTGAAAATCCTCTCCTCCTCCTTCCCCCTTTTTATTTTGAATTTGAGTTTATCCTCCGAAAGTTAGAAGATAGTTATAATATGAAGGCTTAACTGAAAATGGAGTATGGAATTTAAATTATAAAAAAATATATGATAATGTTATTTTTTAGTGAAAGTAGGACATAAAGTTATTTATAAGTAAAATATAAAGACTTAAAAATTGAATCAATAAAAGAATATTTGACTGTGCCTTACTATAAATTAGGAAATATAAATATTAGTTAATAAACTAGCTAAAAGTTAAAAGGTTAATTTTTTTAACTAAAGTTGATTAGTTAATTAAAAAAAATGGTTCTCTGTGGTGAAAATGGTTCTCAGTTGATTAGTTAATTCATAAAATTAGAAGTATTTGAAAAAATTAATTATTGAATTAATTGATACATGCAAATGACACAAAAGACATGTTTAAACAACTTTTTATATATGATTTTTTTTTTCCGTTGAAAAAATACAGTTTTGAGTAATTACAGTTTTAGAATTTTTAATTATTTATAAATTCCTTTTTAATTATTTACATTTTCAATTATTTATTCACATTTTTCAGTAATTTATCTTAGTTATAATCTTTTAGTCGTCCATATTGAAATAAATTTTAAGTGAAAAACATGTAATTCATATTTTTATCACAATATTACATAATGAATGAAATTTAATAAATTATAATTTAAAGGTTAATAAATATGTAAATAAACAATTGTTTAAGTACACCCAAGAACCTACTCCTTCATTACTTCTGAGAGATACATATATTCAAAAAACCAAGTATTTTTTATCATAGCTTCTGGAATGCATAAACAATAAGGAAGAATTCCAACCCAATACTGATGAAGAATCTGATTAATTCGAAAGACAGCGCGCATGACATAAATTCTCTCACTTCCCACCCAAGTCATTAATGTAAATTTACTGATTTATACACGAACACTCAAAAAGGTAACAACACTTGAAATCTGACAATTACAAAGCACAGCCTTTCAATACCTTAGTAAATTCCATGTCATTGCCAAAGCACCATAAAAAAAAATCGAAGAAAAACACTATCATGTTTCAATGCACACATTCGAAACATGAAAAAGAGAAACTTCATAAGCTGGATATTTTTATCTTTACAAATATTTGATCAATAGCCATATGACAACAACCAAGACCACTATACCAATCACTGATAAAAGCAAGCACAAGCAGGAGCAACCACCCTTGGTACGTTTGTTCAAAATTGCCAAGTTCTTCTGCACTCGCTGTTTTCACATCAGAAACAAAAAAGGTAAGTTGCAAGCAACGTCTACAATATCTCAATTCAAGAGTTAATGGGGGAAATTGACAAATTGCTTTTATAAAAAATACATCAAGTAGGTATATTAACATATGTTCTCTTGGAAGGGCATCCACAAATATCATTAATTTATTTTATTATAGTTTTGTTTTATATGTCAAACAAAAAATTGAAACTATCAAATTAAATGTTTGCCCTAAGCAAAGGAAATCTATACATTTGCAGAAAAATACTAAATAATGTTGTACAAAACGCATTATCTCCTGATAAAAGAATGTAAAATCATCAACAGAAATCCCCACAGGTCCATATTTGACAAGGCATATAATAAGTATATTTTAACCCAAATAAGTATATTTTTATACCTAAAAACAGTACCACGACAAAGACTAACCAAATAATTTATATATGTATTGGAAAGGTTAAATTGGTTCACTTTCAACATCTTAATTTATAGATAATGCACCTACCAGAATCAAGGAATTTACTAACTGAAAAAAATTAAGAATATTAAATTAAAGATGATATCACCCGACTTCACCAAATTGAGCATATTGTAAACTCCTCCATCTAATAGAATTTAACTTTCTTGTGCTTAAGAACAAGAGTTATGAGCCCAATATGAAAGCTATAGCAAGAGTGTTACCCTCAGCCGAGAATCTGTAACATCTACATGTTGATCCAAGTCATCCTAGCAAAAGAAGAGCAAGGATTAAATTTTGGAGATAAGAGCAAAACCTAAAATAGACGGTAAAAGGAGCAAAAAAAATTAACATATGACGGTAACATACAATGAGCCTGGTGTGTAGATCCAGCTCTTCATTCACCGCCAATGCAATATGTTTTGTACTGATTACAGTCTCCTCCAATTTCTCAAGGCCATCGTCTTGCTCTGCTTGAATAGTACGTTTCCAAATCAAGATCTAAAAGGCAGACTACAACTATTATTTTTTAATATAAAACAATTCAAATTAAGTGACCTTTCATAATTTGGCGTTGTAGACCAACTAGCCCACTGTTGTCCAGGCCTACGGTTCTGCTCATTGCATCTGGTTTTATTTCTGGGCCAAGCAAACTATCCCTATTTGCAAAGTTGGACATGTTCAATGTTGAAGCCATTTGGGTGACTTTGGTCCTCAAATTTGCAAGCATGTCCTTGCGACGGTTCATCTCCTTCTCAGTTCTGTGCATTGTTGACAAAGAAACACTTCAAATAAAAATCAAGCAACTTCTATGAAATAGATAGTCAAGATCAGGAGGTTTCATAGTGAAAAATATTAGATGACTAGTGTTATAGGTCCTCCATGAACAATTGGACATGGTCTGCTGTAATAGCATTAACTTTTTCTTAATCAACATAGGAAACAACTGAACACTAACTTTGCAGGGAACTTTGACAAAAGAGATTGCAAGCTATCAAGTCTGGTCCCTAATATCGTGATCTTCCTTCTTATAGCAGATGCATGGCGCTGAGTTTCTGGTCCAGATGCAGGGAATGAACTGCGCTCAGAAATCATGCCACTTATATCATCCGCGAGTTTCACGGCTTCATTATATTCCTTCATCCATGAGTCTGAAGAAGATGCCATTGGCCTGAAAATAAGGGGGAAAACAAAGAAATAAAAATGTGAGAACCAAGGTATGATCATTTACTCATTTAATAGATTTTACATTGAATGATAGCATATAAATAATACAAGAAATAAAAAATTCCGTATAATCAATAATATAGTATGTCGAGAAATCTTCGAGTAGTGTCCAACAAGATATAGAACTTTCCAGTTCACGTGAGTAACACAAGATAAACTTAACCAGGTTAGAGAAATTCAAAACAGAGATTTTATATAAATAGCTATGGCACAATGACTCCCACATAAGATAATTTAAAATTCTACATCTTGCTACCAAATCCAGCGCCTCAAAACAGGCACTCACAGGCATGTGATAATGCAATCTATACTATGATAATAATGATATGGGAAAATTCCACTGACCTCTCTTGAGGTCTTTTTAAATGACGCATACCTCTCTTCTAGTTTTTAAGTGATTACTAACCTCCTTTATTTATTTATTTAAGTGACACATACAACCTCTTATATAAGATAACACCAATTGTGTGCTATTAAGAAAAAAATAAATTATTAATCCAGGTGCCAACAATAGAAAGAGACTTATTCTCTTACTCAATTTTAACACCCAAATTATATCATAAATATCATATGTATAATGATTTAAAAAAATATACTAACTTCAAAAGAACAATTTCAAAGCACGGTTTGAGAAATTATTATTTTCAAAATTGATAGAGCAATGAAAATTTTCATAAAGAAGACAAAGCATTGTTTGTAATTCAAAAACAAATAATAAACGCATATATGATTGACATAATATGAATTGACTTTTACTTTTTCTCTTTCTCTCACCTTAACTAATGACGTTACTATAAGGGATGTGAGTGGTTTTTAAAAGATCTCCAAAACTGTCTCTCTCAAAAGTCAAAACTACGCTACATTTATAATCATCTCCCTCAACTAACTCCCTAAAATTGATAAAAGTAGATAAATCCTAAAGATAAGCTATGAAAACAGAATTCAAATAATATAATCCTAAAGATAAGCTATGATAATAGAATTCAAATAACATAATCCTACTCTAAATCCTAAAGATAAACTATGATAGCATAATTCAAATGACATAATCATAAACAAATTTTGCTACTCTGAGTTGGGTTCTATAAATTGGTCACGGTGAAAGTAAAATTTTAGGTCATTTTTACACTGAACTTCGTGAATTTACTCCATCCTTCCCTAGTAAGAGTGTTATATGACTTATATCATCTTTCCAACAAAAGAGAAAGAGAGATATCAATCAAAGTTACCTCTATGAATAAACCACACAATCTCGCAATCAAGTGCACAAAAGTGCAAAACTTAAAGGATTGCCAATTAGCAGCTGAACCTAACATCCCTTTTTGCTTTATATCAAAAACTATTTATTGCAGCTTTGTTCCCAACTAAGTTCCATAAGGACCATAAAACGTTTGAAAATGGAAAGGGTTTTCCCAATCAATAGAGGAAGCTATATGATCAGCTAATATTTTGAAGAAGCAGAATCTGTGGATCAACATCATTGATCTATATAGAATCAGAAGTTATACTTTTTTATTTTTGGGGTTAAATAAATTTATGAGAAAAAAATTACAAAGACCAGAGGACATGTAATTTTTTGTTTATCTGATAAAGAGTAAAGCAATCACCTGTATTGAGGGAAGAAAAACATTTTGGCTAAATAGAAACGAATGGCTGGAAAAAAAATCAAAAAATAAAAAAATGCACCCTAATTTCTTCTCCACAATTTAGACTAAAAAGAAAGAAAACAAAAGGCAAGCATATCTATTAAGACATTTACAAATTAATAGAATAGTTGTCAGGTTCTCATATACCCATATGGCTGAATCTTTCTCACTCGAGCATTTAAACAAAAACAACACAGCATTGAAAACAATGGTTTGAAATCTAAGAGAAAATAACATTTAAATAAAAACAACACAACGTTGAAACTAGTGGTTTGAAATCAAAGAGAAAAGAAGATAGAGAACATTCTCCTCCAACACAACATTGAAACTAATGGTTTGGGAAATTCTTATTTCCTGAGATAGAGTGTGTCTGGATTACAGTTTGGAGACTCCAAAACAGACGTTCGCAAATTGCAAGGGAGAAAACAATGAAGCAAGTGTGTGGTTTTATTGAGCTTAACATCAGTTTGCGTTGGGATGAACTGTTTTCCAAACACACTGCTAGTTTTTGGGTTGAGTTAAGCTTAGTGCAAATTCAAGATGGTATCGGTGCCTATCATTGATCCCATATTGGATCAAAAAACCTACCAGCTTTCACAATGCAATATGAAAAAGAAAAATTTCTCTGCTCCACATGTCAATTTAACAGTGTGACGGGGTGACTTCAGATCTTCATTGACTATATATATGTCTAAAATAAAACTTATAAAGGCATAAACAACCCCCACCTCATAACCGTACCCAAATTCAAAAAACCTCATCTAAACACCATCTTTAACTATCACCCATTGAGCAACATCAGCACCAAAATAATCCTCACCAATATCCTGACCTCTTAACCCAGCAAACCAGACTAATTACTTCAACAACATATTCATTCCTCTATTCAAAATTTCAATTCTACACCACAATCGCCGCGAACCACCAAGTAAAAGACAGTGCAAAAATGTCATTCAAGCTCATCATGATCACAGAGGAAAAACAATGAAAAATTACAAAACTCCCATCCATCATGCGATGTCCACAAAATCAATCACGTTAAACATCAATCAGACACAAAACACACAACCCTCAGAAAACAACAACCACAAAAGGCAAAACAAAAAAATCAGGCACAAAAAACGCGTAATTCCGAGGAACCAAAGTTCATCGAGCAACTGCAGTCCAGAATCACAATTCACATGGAAAAATTGAAGAAGACAATTCGAACGAAACGAAAGGGAAGAAGATCGCGAAGGAGAATCGAACCTTACGCGCTAATTCCGGATAAAGTAACTTTTTGTTTTCCGAATTAGGGTTTCGAAATCAAGCGGAAGAGAGGATTTGACGAGGGTGATGGATACGACGTCGTGTGCGAGATTAGCGTAACGGCGGCACCACCAATGGGCACCGTTTTTCCGAGAGCGTCGTCGTATACGAAAGGCGAGTGGCAAGGAAAGGGTCGTTGTTGAACGCGGCGTCGTTTATGCTGTTCCTTGCGCTACGCGAGTTTTTGTTTTTAAACAGTTGGAGTTGAATTTACGAGTTTATAATCCTAGTGTATTAACTAATTGTTATTTTATCATTAGAAAAAGAAAGAAAAAAAAAACTAACTAATTGTTATTTGACTCTATCCTTTCTAGTTATAAAATTAGGATTAGGAAGTATCTTATCCACGTGTAAATATTTTAAATTTAAATGAAATTTAAAATTAGCAATTAAATTGTGTTTGAAATGGTTAAATAAATTTGTGTAATTAACTTGTGTTATGTTGTGAAATGATATCAACACAAGACTACGCCTATATGATTATTCGCTCTTTTGTGTTTGACTTACCTCTTTAAACATGAAAAGTCAACGCATCAAAGTATTAGAACTAATATATTATTTAATTCATTATATAATATACATATAAGTTTAACACATTTTCACCTGATATTTTAGTTAGAAAAATTGAGCTACTTTTTATCTAATGCTATAGAGAGATTCAATTTATGATTTCTTTTACAATCTAGGATCAATTTTTTATTATACAACCTCAACTTAACCAAGAAGGTCTAATTTTAAATTTGTTGATGTTATTTTCTATGTAATGATTCTATTTTACGAATTCAAATTATGATAAGAAAAGTCTTCTAAAATATAAAAACAATATTCATCTATTTTGTAATATTATATCTTTTATATAAATTTGAATAATTATATTAAACTAGAGTAATATTTTTAGCATCATTTTTCAATAAAAAAACAATTTTAATTATTTTTTTAAGATACAATCAAAGTCATTAAGTCTGATTATGGATATACGGATCGATCTGATCCGTTTAAGACCCGGCTTGTAAAATTCACATTTTATATGGATCAAATAAGTCTGGCTTGCAAAATAAATGGGTTTATTTTTCTAGCTCATATCCTATCCATAAAAATTCGTGGATAAACAGACCGGTTCGCAAATCTAAATAATAATTCAAAAAATATTTTTTAAAAATAAAATGCATAAAATTATAAGAAAAAAAATCTTTTTATCTATAAGTTAAATTTCATCACATTAAAGATTATCAATAGTTGAAATGGTTTAAAATACTAAATATTAAAATGTTAGAATAAAAATATTTAGAAATACTTATATAATAGTATCAAACTTTCAATAATAAAAATATCAAAATGTCATAAAAATAATTCAAATAATAAATCCATATCAACTAAACATAAATTTAATGTCATAATAATTTAAAAGATTAAATATACAACTTAATATTAAAGTCTTAATATCTAAAAATATTAATTAGAGAAGTCTGTATATCTAGTTCACGAGCCGCAAATTTAATTTGTTAAGTTTGCGAACTTCACAAACTAGATTCAAAATTTAAACACAATTACACGAATTTAAAAAAAAAAATGGGTTTGGTAATCATAAAGTCCGCGGACTTACAAACCAATCCATCAACCTGAATCCATCTAACCATCTGTACGTATAATCCATAATTCATTTGATAACAGTAAGTAGTGGAGTGACTTCTCCTTCGTCTATATTTGGTAAGTAAAGCTTAAGGATTCAACAAGGTGACCTCTGTTGTCTCAAGCATGTTCGGAAACTGAAACTGTTGCTGTCAATGAAAAATGTTACATCCATGATACATTTGGGAAAACCAGTGGGGGAGGAGTCCATTCTATGGGGTGGCAGTGTTTTGAAGACACATTTTTTTAATGTAGCTATACAACTTACAATGACTACATTAATTTGAGAAACCGTTTGCATCATTCCAAACGGGAATCCCCACTTTCTAAGACACAAAAATAAGAAGCAATATGTGTTGCTTTTAGTTAAGTGTGGATTTGGATTAACTTCAATTTTCTACACCAATACAAACACCTTATACATCTTTGGTTGTCTTCTTTCTTAGAGGTCCATTTCTGTTCATATATGAGTCAATTTAGGATGACCTGACATTTTTGCCTTTGCATTTTTTCTTTCATCAAAATATTTTGACCAACAAACATTCTTCATTTTGCATTGAACCAAATGCTTTGTTGTACATATTTAGTATCTTTGCGAGGTTGTACATTGGATCCATATATGCATTTGTGTGTTATCAAATTTAATATTTTTTATTTAATTAAATATTTAACCATATAATTGATTAACTAATTAAGTAAATTTTATTTGTAATTAATTATTCTATTTGTTCTTTATTATAAGTAAAAAAAAAAACAATTCACACATTTTTTGTTTTTAAATATAAGCAAATTTTAACTAATACTTTTCATAAAATGTCTTTTCTTTAATGACATTTCAGTTGCACTATTTTCTTTAATATTTACTAGAGGGAGTGTGATAGACTATGGCCAAGGCCAAGGAATCCAAGAGGTGATATCTTAAAAGAACCAAGAGGAATGAGATGATCTTAAAGACCTTTTTCATATGTTTGTACATATAGTAGTTTCTTTGTATAAGTTTATTTTTGCCTTTGTATTTGTGAGACACTTTACTTGCTTTTAACTAGTGTTTGTATATTGATTTTAGGGTAGGCTACTTGGAGAGTTTAACTCCATTTAACCTCCTTTGTTGATACATTCATTTTATATTTTTTCAGTAAGAAAAAAGGGGTGACATTTAGCAATGTTTGAAAGTGTGACTAGTAATTGGGCCAGAACTGGGCCTAGGCAAAATTTTGCATATTAGACTCATTTTGCTCCTAATTTTTCATAGATTTGATTTAGCTAGGTCTCATCATCATATGATGAACCTAACTAAACCAAATCAAATCAAATATTTTTGAAATAAATCATGAAGCATTTTTGAGCCTTGGCCGCCTAGCCCATTCCTTTTGTTTTTGGCCGAAATTTCTAGCTTCTCCTACAAGCTTTGAAGCTTGCCTTCCAAGCTTCTAAACCTTAGTAGGTTTGACTGACCTTACCATGGTTCTTAAGTGAACCATGGTCAAGGTTAGCTTCTCCTACAAGTTTTAGAAACCATGGATGGTTAGCTACACCTTACCATGGTTCCTAGTGAACCATGGTTAAGGTTAGCTTCTCCTAGAAGCTACCTCTCCCTATATATTTGTAAGTCTCTCTCTTGTAATCACTTTTGAACATTTTGAGAAATAGAAATCAGATTTCTTTCTCATTCAAGAGTCTTATAAACCGTAGAGAACTCTCTCTCTAAGGTTTCTATCAAAGTTTCTTCAAACTTTGCCTTGGTTCCTCAAGCTTCCTTCACAAGCTAGGAAGTAACCGAACCTACTCCATTGCTTCTCCACCATTGGAGAATCCTCCAAGGTGATTCCGCCACCTCAAGGAGTTCATCAAGAGTTTCTTCGGTCCTTTTGCATGGAAGCTTGGATGAACAACAATCTTCACCAAGTAGTTCCATCAGAGTGAGGCACTTCGTGCCTTTAATAATTATACACAGATAAATATTAGAGTTGTAGAATTTATAATTTTTTTTACATTCAAGGGTATAAAAGGTCTACTAAAAATAGAGACCTAAAGGGTGATTATTAAAATGTATCCATTTTATAATAGGTATAGATAACAAAAACAATTTAAGAAGAATATCATGAAATTAATAAGATTTAATATAGATAATCAATTTTTTTAATATACATAAAACTATTTTTTTTTTCTTATAATAGAGAATAGAAGGTGCACTTACTGAAAATTCAATCATGTTCTAAACACGTGCAGTAGAAATATAAGATCTATTTTATGCTAAAAACACACATGGTAATTGATAGGATATTTAAGAAAGCAAATAAAGTTTACCTGGTTGAAGTCTAAATTTTAAAAATTTTCCTTCAAAACTGTGAAGGTCCCACGTGTATCCACACCGAGACTAATCTTTGCTCATTAACCTTTTGACCGAACAATTTTTTAGCAGAGAATATAATAGAGAAAATAACTAATTTTCTTATGCTTTTTCTGTGTGATTTTTCTCCACATTAGAGCCGTATATTTATAAACATGTAAACATATCTATTCTCTCAGCAACAACATCCATATCCTATCTTCTAAAATATAGGAATTATCAAATGTTCAAAAAATTAGTTTTTATCTTTTCTTATCAAAACCGTTTTTAATTAGGTCAAAATTCAAAGCGAATCTTTCAATTTAAAATTAAAAAATTGACGTGTTTTTCTATCTTAATAAAAACAAATATTATTTATATTTTGATGTTAGTCAAAAATAAATAAATAAATAATATTTTATTTATAAGAAAAGTAATTATTTGATGAAATCAAATTCTTTAATTTAATTATCAAATAATAAATAATGGAAGGAAATTTTAAGTTAATCTTCTAAAGGTTCTTGAAAATATTATTTCATACTATCTAAATGTTAAGGAGTGTTGCTAGACGCAAAATAAATTAATGTAGTTAATTTATTACTGGTTTAATTTTGAACCTACAAGGTCACACATTAATGAGTGTTCTAATCTTTGCTTAAGAAAATTTATTATTTGATACCTCACCAAATAAATATAAATAAGAATGACTTAAAATAGATAACTAAAATAATGTAAAAATTAAAAGAGATAAAAGTCTCATCTCCATACCTTAATAGAAAAGTGAAATCGAGTAAAAGAAATTTGTTTCCCGTTTTTTCTTCATCTCGTTCTTTTTCCCTCTTCTTTCTTAATTTTCTTTCACTCTCTCACGTTCTCTTATTCATTTCTTCCTTCCCATAATCTGATGGTTCCCCACCCATGCCTATTTATAAATAACTTTGTAATGATTATCATTAGTTAAATTCTAATGATATATATTTTAATTACTTCATATTTACATGAGCTAATTACTCTACAATAAATGTTTTAGATAAGCATTAATCTTATTTTTCTAAAACAATCTTACGGTAAAAAATTTTCTATAAAATTTTATTATTATTATTATTATTATTATTATATTAACAGTTACTATTTTAATAGTTATATATATATATATGTTCTTATATTTGATATATTTATAAAAACAATATTAATAATTCATAACGATTAATCATTATTGATGTTCATTTATTTATTTATTTTTACAAATAAAAATTTAAAATAATTTAAAATTATTAAAATAATATGATTATATATTATTTAGATTTATTTAATCTACTAAAATGTCATATAAAAAATTGAAAATATTAAAATTATCTAATAATATTATTAACCATTGTATCGGAAATTTAGAATATCACATAAGTCCTGGAGGAATGAATTTCATAGAAGAAAAAAAAAAAGAGCGATATAGAAGGAAATAATATTGAGAAAGTGATATTTAAGAAAATATTAAATATTTTTAGTATTATTGGAATAAAAAAATCTGCAAGAGAAATTTTGGTTTAGCTATCAAGTGCCAAGGCCACTGCTGATTAGAATCCGAAGGATTCGTGTTTAAGTGTCAGAATATACTGAAAATCCGTATCGCAACACTACAACTTGCGTGGTTCTTGAGCTCACATAGTAATCTAACAATACAAATTTTTTTATATATCAAAATTAGAATCATGGCACCAAAGTTTAAACCTATTTTCTACTTCAACCTCACTATTAAGCCGATTAACTCAACAATTAGCACAAGTAATTGTATTATTAATCGAGAATTGTGATTCCATATCTTTAAAATATAATTATAATTAAAAGTATATATCTTTATGGTAAACATATAATCGAAGGTAACACTTTATAATAGATTTGAAGTTATATCTCTTAATTAAAAAATAATAAATAATTCAACAACACATACCAAACAGTTCCTGCCACATACGTCTCCTTTATTAATCAACTAACAGTTTCTAGTTTCAACATGACAACAACCTTAACAAGAAACCCTTTATTAATCCTCCTGTTTCATCACATGGGTGTCTCAAAATTTTCATCTTTCACAGCATGAACATTACAAAGCCATGCTCTCACCATTTTCTAAGCCGGCTTTCTGTGTAATCTGTATGTGTATGCTAAGTAGCTAACTTTTTCTTTTTCCCTCAGACAAACCTCTATCTGTATCTAAAAATTCATGGCACCCTCTATTATTTTCTCTCTGCTTTCCCTTCTGTTGGTTCCAACAAGTGGTTATGTGCAGCCCCCTGAAGAGGGTTTCATCTCTGGGGTCATATCTGACAAGGGTCTTGATTATGCCAAGGAGTTGCTGATAGAGAAGGGTATTGCCTCCATTGTGATGCTTCAGCTGCCAGAGATTGAGAATTCTGCCCAAGTCCCTTTTGTTGGAAACGCTAAAGTGGTTCTTTCTGACATCACAATCAAGGATGTTCTAGTCAATTCTTCATCTGTTAAGACTGGAGAGAGTGGTGTTGTTGTAGCTGTTTCAGGTGCCACTGCCAATTTGAGTATAAGGTGGAGGTACTCTGTCAGCTCTTGGTTAATCCCAATTGGAATTTCAGATAGTGGGAATGCTTCAGTAGAGGTAAAAAAGCACAACAATTTCTCTCATTTTATGCTTGGTCTTTTATTTGTGGCTGCTGTTGTAGATTTTTGTTGAATTCAAGTTCGGAAGATTTGACTTTGTGAAGCAAATAACAAATATTTTCTTGAAGTTAATTATTTGGGACATGTTTAGTTAAACTTCTCCAGAAACACTTCTAGAAGAGAAACATAAGCAGAAAAAATGAAATAAGATCTTCCATAAGTTAAAATTAGCTTAAGCAAAAACTAATTTGTAGAAGTTTTCTCTTGTTAGTTTCTACAAAATATTATTTTTATGTGTAAATTAGTTTTAACTTATGAAAAAATTTATTTCAATTTTTCTTCTAGAAATGCTTCTAGAGAAGTTTATCTAAACATATCCTGGTCATAAATGGTTAGCCTGCTTGTCCTAGGAAATCTATAGAGAAGATTGTTTGAATGAAATTTTGCATAGTCATGCAATTGGAATTGAATCAACTTAGTAAAACACAGCCAATTCTTCTATATAACAAGTGGATTCCGAACCACAGCCGTAAAGATCATGGGACTGGTTAAAAAGTGTTTTGATTGCTGTGCACTATGCAGAATTCAATTTCAAACTTCATTATCTTGTTCGTGTAAGTTGAGCTAATTATAAGATCGAAAAAGGAAGAACAAAGAATATCTATAATTATTTCTTTAACTTTGTAAAATTTGTGGCTAAAATGAAATCATAAACAAGCAACTGCTTTTATTTATTTATTTATTTATTTATAAAAAATATAGAACTCCAGGTCACAAGTCATTTGGAAGAGCTTCTATGAAGCTAATTTAGACATATTTTTTCATATAAACATGGGCCGTCTGATTTGAGAAATTGAGAATATATTTTCTGTTTTAATGTTCTATTATTACATTTAATTACAAAAATATCACCTTAAAGAAAAACAGAAACAAAAGAAGTTAGTTTTTGATTATGCTTATAAAGTGGCCTCACATTGAAGCTTAACAAAATAGGCTTATTCAACAAGATCTTATTGAACAATCACTTAATTGTGTTTTTTTTACACCATAAACTCAAAGGAAAAAAATGTTGTATATAGATGACCAATTAAACAAATGTATTTCAGTTTCACTATCTGATAGGCAAAAACCTGTTGAAATAACAGACTTTTAGTGCCTACAAACACACACACATGGTGTTCACTCAATAATATTCCTCACTTTAGTTGTGTTGTACTATGTTTGGAAGGTTACAGGTATGCAAGTGGGACTTACAGTAAATTTAAGGAACCAAGAAGGATCTCTAAAGTTAACTCTCTTAGATTATGGATGTTATGTGGGAGACTTATCTATAAAGTTGGATGGTGGGGCATCTTGGCTTTACCAACTGTAAGAAATCTTCTTAAGCCATGTTTCTGAAAAATGGGCAATGTTCACATATTCTTTATTTTTGAGAATTATTCTTTGCTTTTTGGTACATTCCAATGATGAGCATTTGTTAAACAACTACTATCACAAAGCTTTATTTCAATTTTATTCTCAACTGCTTTGTTCTTTTGTAAAGTGTGACTTGAAAGAAAGAGAGCAGAGAAGAGCTGCTTCAATTAATTCTGGAACAATAATTTTTCTTGGGAATTCAGAGCAAAAGTTTGTAGATTATGTGAACTTATTTTAAAAAGATACAGATAAATCTTTTGCTTACTACCGAAGAATGAAGATGCATATATTGACAAAGTTAGTTAGAATACTTTCTTCTTTAGCCTTTCTGTTTGTCATATTCCTGAAGTCTTTACCAGTACTACAATGGCCATAGGGTCCAGACAAAGTTAACATTATTAAGAACATAATTAAGGTGGAAAAAATAACTTTTATTTTGGTCTCAAGATTTAGCAGCATGATTGTGTAAGAAGTAAGACAGCTAAAGGAGATGATCCCAAATTTACTGTTCCATGGTTTAATTTTGGTTATATTTATGAGTGTAATATAGTAATCCCTATGTAGTTCCTGAGTCAAGACTTACATTCATGAAGAGAAAAGGAGAAAAAACACAAATCAGTATTTACGTAGAGATTCCAGAATTCAGGCTTTCATATTTTAGGATTAATTTGCCAATCGCAAAGTTTTGTGTTTTGTGGCTTCTTGATTCTTGAATTTGGTGAACTTGGATTAAAGAATAAGTGCATCTATTCCCCTTTATTGCTTCTAGGTGAAGTGGCTAGACTTCATATGAAGATAGGTCTGTCCTTGATTACACGATGACACAAATATGATGATTCTTAACTGAAAGTTAATAAAATCGTTTAGTTAATTTTCCTATGTGATGTTTTTATTTTTGGCGTAAGGACTCTTAGCGAGTAATATTATAAAAGTGGTTTTCCTTTTCAGACATTAGTTAATTGATAACACAAGCATTTTTTTTCTTCATGATATTATGAACTTGGGTAACATATGGTCCTATATAACTTTGATATTATGCCATTGACATCTTTATATTTGTTTCAGGCTAGTAGATGCTTTTGAAGGGAATATAGCATCTGCAGTTGAAGAGGCAATTTCAGAGAAAATAAGAGAAGGAATAGAGAATATTGACAATTTATTGCAATCTATTCCAAAGCAGATCTCACTAGACAAAACCTCTGCACTAAATGTTTCTTTTGTCGGCAATCCTGTGTTGAGTAATTCCTCTATTGCAATTGCAATTAATGGCTTATTCACAGGGAAAAATGAAGCTTCAGTACTTCAAGGTTACCAGAAAGGATTGAAGATTTCTTCTGCCTGTGGTGGTTTACCAAAGATGATAAAGCTTTCAATACATGAAAATGTGTTCAAATCTGCCTCCCTGGTTTACTACTATGTAAGTTTCTGAAAATTTAATTTCTTACTTTTCATGCCTTAGTTCAATCTATTAGTGATGTATAGTAGCTTGTTATAACCTGTATTACATGGGATCTAAGTTAGGATTTCTGTTCATAAATTTTTTACCTTTAGACTCTGACAATCAAAACATTGCAGAAGAAACAATTAGATAATTATGTGAAACCAAGAAGTGGACATTCTTGGTTGGATCAAAGCATCATCTTTTTACGGTGTGCATAATTTAGATATGCATATCAATGATGTGCATTCATTAATGAAGGTTAGGAGCTCTGATGTCGTTAGCTTCTCTCACTGAATTTGGGATAGAGGGTCACTGCTTGAGCTCAAATAGACATTAGATTGCTAAGATACATCATAATAGCTTAGAATTGAGTCCTTTATTCATTTGTTTCTATATGACATGATAGTGCTGATTCTATTTTTTAGACTAATTAAATGGCTTCTGTTGGTGCGTTGGGAACAAAAAATCTTTTCTTCTTTTCTTTATGCACAAAAATGAGAGAATACACAAAACACCAAAAAAGAAATAGGAAAAGATTACACAAAATTTATTTAACGTGGTTTCACTCTCATGCCTACATCCATAAGGATGTTCATTATCTCCAAATATATTACACGTATGTTCTTGAAAATCTTCCCTTCAAGTTTTGGGAGTGGAACTTGAAAATCCCTCATCGCAAGTTTTATGGGTGAAACTTAAAAACTCTTTCTTCACAAATTTTATGGGTGAAACTTGAAAACCCCTCTCTCAAAAGTTTTTTTGGCTAAACTTGAAAATCCTTCTTCATATAACCCCCTTGTCTAATTTAAGGTAGTGATCCCCTCTATAGGTTAGGTGATTCTTTTCATCTCAAGAGTTTCTATTTATTGACCTAATATCTTAATTTTAAAATAGGAAACAAATCCCTAAAATAAATACAATATATTTCAATTTTAAACCATATTCTGAAAAATTAATATCTTTTAAAATCTAAACAATATCTTAGAGATTTGAATTTTAAAATTTTAAATGTTTTCCCAACAGTGAACAAGTATGAATGATAGTTCCATATAAGTTAGATATGTTGAGTAACATATAAGTGAGAAGAACCTGTAGATCTATTGCCTTACGATTTTGGTTAAGATATGGTGTTCAATTCTGTTGTGTGGTTTGTTCATGATTCATTGATGAATTTTTCTCCTTTTTTTAACTTCTCGTATTTTAAACAATTGATATTAGAGTCAATGATTCGACAAAGTAACGGCTTAGACAAGTATTAGGCAATAGAAGGCGGTGTATTTTCCCATATTTCCAACAGCTTCAATTAATTGTTCATACTTAAGCATTTATGTTGGATGCTTTTATAGTATTATAGATTGAAATACAGTTTTACAGTTTTTGTTGTTCTTGTGCTCAGGCAGGTAAAATGCAATTGATTATTGATGAACTGCCTGATCAGGCCATTTTGAACACTGCTGAATGGAGATTCATAGTTCCCCAATTATACAAGCGATATCCAAATGATGACATGCAGCTTAATATCTCTGTATCTGCGACACCATTTATACAAGTGACCTACCAACATGTTGCTGCAACTATTTTTGTAGATATAACAATTAATGTTTTGGAAGACGGCGAGGTCATACCTGTTGCATGCATCTCAGTGGTATGCTAAGTTAATCCAGAAAAGGAAGCTAATGTGCTTATGTTGATGGTTAAAAATTCCTAAAGCTAACAATCTTTGAAGGAGCTAAACATCATGATGTACTTCTTTTCGGCATTCAGATTAAGCTATATGAGGCATTCAAACTGTTTTTGTTTTCATATTACCATATAGAAAACAAATCAACATTTTGATCTTTTGACTGAAGTTTCAAAGTAGCTAGTAATTTTTTTCTGCCTTAGCATGTGCATGATCTCATCTATGTTAGGACTCAAGAGTGTGGCCATGATCAGTATATATTTGTCCTATCTAACAAGTTCCATTATTTTTGCTTATGCTACAGGAAATTAGTGCTTTATGTTCTGTGGAAATTGTAGGAAACAATATTTCCGGAAGGCTCAAATTACAAAATTTTTCTACATACTTGAAATGGAGCAAAATAGGGAAACTGCACATGAATCTGATCCAGGTAAATCAGACTAAAAGTATTCATATTCATATATATATATATATATATATGAGGAGGGTTTAAACGACACCGGTGTAACTTTTACTAAGTGTTACACCGCTTAATAACTTTATATTAAATGTGAATTTTGAAAAAATCCAACTGTTAGATTGAAAGTTCATATCTCTTAGATCATATATGTCAAATTTTGTTAAAATTGAACAACAATTTGAAGGTAATCAAAGTGTTCATATTTTACTATATTTTGAAATGTATATATTACGTCAATTTTGTTTTATGAGAATGAAGTATCAAATCATCTTAGATTAATATAAAATTTAATATATATGATCTAAGAGATATGAACTTTCAATCTAACGGTTGGATTTTTTAAAATTCACATTTAATATAAAGTTATTGAGCGGTGTAACACTTAGTAAAAGTTACACCGGTGTCATTTGAACCTTCCTCTCTCTCTCTCTCTCTATATATATATATATAAAAGAGATCCACTTACTCCACTTAATAACCCACGTTTTATCATTGAATTAAAAGTTTTTAATACATAATTTTTAAAAAGATTAAAAATTATTTGATATTTTATTTCATTAATTCAAATAGACGGATAATTATAAAAATATTTTATACGTTAATTTGAACTAATAAAATGCAGTATTAAATAATTTTTTAAATTTTTAAAAAATTTGTAGACTTAATCTACACATTAGAAACTTTTGATTCAACAGTTAGATCGTTAAAATTTGATGTAAAATGTGAATTATTGAGTGAAGTAAGTTTAGATAAATTTACTTTTGGACTATGTGAATCCCTCCTCGTATATTTAATTTAAACTTGGATGAAACAAAACTACATATGTGACCAAATGATTTCCACCTAGGCTAGCAATTCGATCCATTAGTGTTTCTGTTTTAAACTTGTAATTATACATTTTCTTACCATAAACAATATTGGTGTACATCCTTGATTTTATTAACATGAATCGATAAGATGAATCATCTGTTAACCATGTTCACTTGGTTATTGACCTTGGTTAAGAGTTTGGATAAACTTATCTCAAAACATTTCTTAGAGAAAAAAATAAGAATGAAAATCAAAATAAATTTCTCCACAAAACTAGCTTATGCATAAGTTAGAAATAAGATTTTAGAAGTTAATAAGAAAAAAACTTCTACAAATTATCAGATGCATAAGCAAATTTTAACATAAAAAAAATTATTTCATTTTTATCTTATTTTTCTCTTCTATAAATGCTTTTGAAGAAATTTACCCTAATAGACCCTAATTGTAAAATGTCCAAAGGTGCCAAGTTTATGTTGTAGTGTATTTACAGTATATCATTTCAAGTTGTCTGCATTTATGTTACAGCAGCTCAATCATTTGATTAAGGAAAAGAGAAGGGAGCACCTGTAACATTCGTTACAGGCACCTTTTCACACATTTTGCTCTTATGCTTCAATTTTCACCTTTTGGATTCATTTACAATTCTGCAAGTAGTATAGATTAGCACATCTGTAACTTCCTCTCCTAAGTACCCAAAAAAAAAAAATCTAATCTCTATTTTCAAATATTTGATTGCTAAACCTTAATCATTGTCTATCCTTCCAAGTACAAATTTAGCTCACTCTTCAACTTTTGTCAATATTTGCAGTCACTAATGTCAAGTGTCCTCAAAACCGTCATTCTTCCATACTTGAACTTCAAATTAAATAGAGGATTTCCATTACCAATTATTGATGGTTTTGGCTTTCAGAATGCAAATATCTTGTACACTCAACCATGGATTGCGGTCTGTAGTGATGTTTTCTTAGAAGATTACTACTATCTAGGTCAACACTCAGCATATGCTTCATAAAATAAAACTACAATGAAAACTTGTCTGCTGTATATTTGTGTTAGATGGTTGTAAAGTGTGAAGAAGATATATATAGAAACCCATTTTGTAAGTTACTTGTGTACATATCACAGTTAGTGTACCTTTTGGATTTAGCCTTGTAAACACGCCATCCTGCCATGAAGATTACTTGTTGAAAATTTATGCCATTATTTTTGTCATTGTATGTCAACACTACATCATTTTTTACATTACCATACTATAAACCAAGTGCATGGTTGTTTATAACTCATGCTTAGACAATAATCTTTTTCTTTTTAAAAAAAGAAAAATTTGACAAAGAAAAGTTCCAACTGGCACTAAGGTATTACTTCCAACTTATGCCTAGGCAATGAAGTGTTGGCCACGCAAGAAACAAGCATTGATGTGTTGTGGTTCATTAATCTTGACTTTTGATTAATGCATGTTTGTTGAAACCATGGCATGTCCAATTAATGTCGCTGATGAAAAGCTTATAAATTATAATACGTCTCTTCTGATAAAATTCCAAGATTAACAACTCGCAGGCACATTTAATGGCTTTATTGAAGCCATATTGATGTTATGTCGCTGATGAAAAAACTTATAACACGTGCCTTCTAACAAAATTTCAAGATTAATTATGTAAAAAAAAATTAAACTAATCTAATTCCTATTGACTTTTGAAGCCATTTCTATGGTTCATAGTGAGTTCACTAGACCTAGCAGCCAATCAAAGAAATGAGTTATTATTCACAACCCTCATTTTACTATTTAAACCCCTTTTAAATAAAAATTTGTCCATTCTTCATTTCCATACTTTTCTTCTATCAATATTTAGTTTATCTTCAAGTATTGTCATTAAGCGATAATGTGATATTGATAGTCACATGATTTGTCACATCATCGACTAGTCTGAAATGACAACTTTTATGTGCAAAATTTTGGATAAATTAAGTTTTTGGTCTTTAATTTAATTGTGAAATTCACTTTTAGTATCTCAACAATTTTTTGACTGATCTTATTCTTTCATATTTTTTTTCAAGAAATTCATTTTAATTTCTTACTATTTTTTTTATTAATATTATTATCTTAATTATTGTTCATTATTTTTAGTCCTTCTTATCAAAACCTTTTTGTTAAGTAATAATGCAGTAGTCATGTGACATGCCGGATGAATTATTAATTTGACATAGCTGTCACATAAAATGTTATTGGTTTAAGGTATTTTTAGTGACTCTAAGATGCTACAATTTATTTTTATTTTGTGATGTAAAGTTGGTAGAAAACAAATATAAAAATTTGAACGAAAAAAAAAACCAAAGAAAACACAATAAGTAAAGTCAACAAGTCACATTGTTCAAATGAACAATGCATTTTAAAATTCTCATGATATTGAAGTTTGTTGTGGTCATCTCACTCTCTTGCCATTATCACCACTTTGTGTTTATCATCTAAGCATGGTGGTACTCACGGAACAAAAAAGGTTTTTGGAAACAAAGTTAAAATAGAAGGTTTTATCATATGTTTGAGAAGTGAGTTTGTGGATTGGAGTTTGGAAGGTTCAAAGGTCCAAAGTTCTTTGATTTTGATGCTTGGCATCTTGATTTATGAATTTAGTGGTTTGTGATTTTGGATCATGGTTCAATGAGGTATTGATTTGCATATTGAAAGTTGTTATTTATATTAATTACTATATTTTTTTATTTCTTTCAAAATTTCAAACTCCTTTTTAGACGATTTTCAATGTTAATTTTTTTTTAACAACTTAGAAATGTCTCTAACAAGCAGCATTTCACCACATGATTATTACATCAAATTAGTATTCACATGAAAAATCACTTGTTGGTTGGTATGTGATCACTTAATAATGATACTTGATGGAAGAACCTGAAAACAATGATGAACAATAATTAAGGATTAAGATTAATTAAAAAATTGTTGAAGTACTAAAAGAATTTCATATAAAGATAATAGATTAAGATTGGTAAAAAAATTGTTAAAAAACTTAAATTTCATAAAAAGATAAAAGAAAAAAAAAAGTTTAGAAAATATTACTTGTAACTATCATGTCTCACTTAACAATGATATATACTTAACAACACAGATAACAAAATGTTGAATTGTTGAAAAGGAAAAAGTATAGAAATTAAGACTAGCCAATTTTTTATTTAGAGTCTAAAAATAAAATTCAAGAAATATTTAGTGACCAAAAATATATTTTAATCATTTTATACATTCATAATATTTTTATTGCCTATAAATTAGAAAACATTCTTAATCATGTTTGTTGTGACATGATTCATTTAAACTATTTGGTCTTAGAGAATTTTTTCATATATGGTCCAAAAATTAGGATAATTTAAAAGAAAATTAAGTGACCATGTTATTGGTACATATTAATTTTGATTATGACTATCTCCTCTAATGTCTTTAATAGTCTCTCCTTTCAAATACTAATTTTTTTTATCTATTCGACTTGAACTCAAGACATTGCTTTCAATAATAATGATTAGTTGAGCTCTTATATGCAGAAATCATTCTTTACAATCTTTTATCATTGGAGCATTTTTACGTAGATATACAAAATAAGAATTATTCATAAATTTTTTTTAAAAAAAGGAGTTATTAATTAATTATATATATATATATATATAGGAATTATTTTAAGAGTAAATTTACCTAATCTTAGTCTATTCAATAATTTATGTGTTGCATTAAATTTCAAGATTTGGTCTGTTCTACAAAATTAAAGTCTGAGTTTAACCTATTATCTTTTATAAGTTTGATCTACCCTTTTTAAAGTCTAACTTGATCTATTAACTTATTTAAAAAATCTATTTATATTAATAATATTGATTAGGTCAATAAAATTAGTTTTTAGAAAATCAACAAATTTATTTTTCAAATATAATTTACTCATATTATTAAAATTTAAATTTTAAAATACAAGAGAAAAAGTGAATCATTTTCTATTAAAGGGATAATTCATGCATAGTCATGTATGTTAATGTATATTTACATACAAGTCATAACCTTATAAACCTATAATAAACCTATAATGAAAAAAATAATTTGATAAAAAAGTATTTTAAATATTGATAATTTGCTTTTCTTTTATAAATTATTTGCTCATTATATTTTTAATAATATATGTATATTAATTTTTTTATTATATTATATAAATAAATTTATTTTTAAAATATTTTTTTTCAATATTATTAAAATTTAAATTTTAAAAGAAAAAATGAATATTTTATTGCAGGACAATTTATGCTTAGTCGTATGTTGATGTACACTTGACGTACACATATGCACAAGTCATAAGTTTATAAACTTATAATAAAAAATAAATAAAATGTATATTTTTTTAAATTTCAAAAAATAATATAAGTTATTTATTTGTTATTTATTTAATTTTATAAATGTTATTTATAATTTTAATTAATTATAAAAACTAAACGTAAAAATATAAATAAGTTATTATTTGATTTTTAAAATTAAATAAACAAATATTGTAATATTTAAAAAATTTAAAAAAAAAGACTCCTTGGCCCATAGCGACTTCAATTTAAAAAATTAAAAAAATTTAAAAAAAAGGCTCCATGGCCCATAACGACTTAATTTTTTTAAAAATTTCAGAAAATAATATACGTTATTTATGTGTTATTTATTTTATTTTATAAATGTTATTTATAATTTTAATTAATTACAAAAACTAAACGTAAAAAAAATATAAATAAGTTATTATTTGATTTTTAAAATTAAATAAACAAATATTGTAATATTTAAAAAATTTAAAAAAAAAGACTCCTTGGCCCATAGCGACTTCAATTTAAAAAATTAAAAA